TTCTGAGGCCCTGGGTTTAAATTCATTTGTATAAGCATCTGACATTCTTTTATCCTTTATATTTTAGAGTTGGTTGCAAAATTGGTTCATTATTAGAATTTTCCACCATTTTTCATCCTTTTTCAATACTAAAAATCTGCCTCTACCACATGGTGAGTAACCCTTGGAAAGGCTGTTATTGTTACAATTCTTAAGTCACACAGAACATTCAGTTGTCGACTAAACTGCACACTGCAGTGACGTGGACTTATAGAGTTTCTGCTCCAAAACCGCAGGCCTCTACTACTGCAGCTAAAGGAGAATATCCATTACTTTAGTAGTTTTAGGGTTTAGATAAGTTCTGTGGGACGGCCATTAGAAGGATGCTGAGATCCTCATATCTGAGCAGATCTGCCATACCATTCACAAAAGATCAGTGGAACACAAACAAACTAATCAGTACTGTAAGTTATGCTGTGAAATTAAATGTAGGCAGAGAGAAAGGCATAGGATAACAGTGTAATAATATGTTGCCTTGAGTCTACTTTTATATATTTACTGTTAGAAGTAAAAGCAGACTACAATGAAATGGAGTTCTAGTTATTATTAGCTGGTCTTCGTTTAGTACAAATGTCTAACTGATGTCTAAGATAATTCTCTTTAAAACTAGAACTCTTTAATAGCCATATTTACATGCAAGAAAATGGATGCAAAGGCCTAACACAATATTTGTACCTCTATAAGACATAAAGCTTTCATGCTCTATTCAGATGATTTTCATAGATATGCTAGGCTACATTTTCATAACTTGCATGGGATATGCGCTACTGTGAACCATGAAATGAGCGCATGTCTGCATGCTCTGTCAGCCATGCACAGATTAACATGCATGTCACATGTAAACTGGGTGCAGAGGTTTGTGTTAATTTGTATATCATAGTTTAAATTTATGTAGAACTACTATATACTGGAACATTATTATTTTTCAGTTAAAAATCTCATTTGGGGCAATCAGTAAAATGTATGTGTATTACAAAATGAATTAATCAGACTAAGTAATCATAATGATATTTATTGCTTAATTTGCAGCTTTAAAAACATACTTCTCGACATTGGGAAAGAGCTGCTGTTGTATGGAAGGCAGAGAAGAAAGAGCAGGAGATGATTCAGAAAGGTTTATCTTTCTAACTAGTTTCAAAGAGTAAGACACACTAGGTCTGATTCACTGCTGTTACTTTTCTCTTATGATAGTGTGACTTCACTGATTTTAACAGAATAATAGTGATGAATTTTTTTGTTTTGTTTTTCTAAAGTTCTAATAGGAGAATAGATATCCCAAAGATATAGATTTACCAGTATCCTTTAATGGCAATTTGCTATGTTTAAGAGCTTACACCCCAGTCACACAAACACACACACAAGAGAAACTTTATGCACATGAGAAGCCCCATTGAACTTAGCAGAACCACATGTTTGAGTGTTTCCAGCATCAAGGGCCCTTGATAGAACTAGCTTTAGTTCTTCACTTTGGCTGTGTCTAGACTGGCAAGTTTTTCCGTAAAATCATCTGCTTTTGCAAAAAACTTGCCAGCTGTCTACACTGGCGGCTTGAATTTCCGGAAAAGCACTGACGATCTCATGTAAGATCGTCAGTGCTTTTCAGGAAATACTATGCTGCTCCCGTTCAGGCAAAAGTCTTTTTCCGAAAAACTTTTGCACAAAAGGGCCAGTGTAGACAGCACAGTACTGTTTTCCGCAAAAAAGCCCCGATCGCGAAAATGGCAATTGGGGCTTTTTTGCGGAAAACCGCGTCTAGATTGGCCACGGACGCTTTTCCGCAAAAAGTGCTTTTGCGGACAAGCATCCTGCCAATCTAGACGTGCTTTTCCGAAAATGCTTTTAACGGAAAAGTTTTCCGTTAAAAGCATTTTCGGAAGATCATGCCAGTTTAGACGTAGCCTGTGAGTCTGTCTCTTTGCCTGTGGAACTCCTTGCCAGAGGAGGCTGTGAAGGCTAGGACTATAACAGAGTTTAAAGAGAAGCTAGATAATTTCATGGAGGTTAGGTCTATAAAAGGCTATTAGCCAGGCGACAGAAATGGTGTCCCTGGCCTCTGTTTGTCAGAGGCTGGAGAAGGATGGCAGGAGACAAATCACTTGATCATTGTCTTCGATCCATCCTCTTTGGGGCACCTGGTGTTGGCCACTGTCGGCAGACAGGCTACTGGGCTAGCTGGACCTTTGGTCTGACCCAGTATGACCGTTCTTATGTTCTTATGTTCTCTTATACATTTCTTCCCAAATTCCACATTTTTGTTTGAAGAGTTCTCTTATCCAGAAAAAACATACCATTTTTACCATTTGCAAGCCTTTTTTTTAATAAGAACTTTAGAGTCAAATCGAAAAGTTTATTTTCCTTTATTGCTTTGCTTTCCCTGTTGCCTGTCATTGCTTCCATCTCCATCAACGTGTCAGATTGGGAAAAGATCTTTTTAAGTAGCTTTTTAAATATGTAATAAGGAATTGGAGGTAAGAACTTGTTATGGCATGTTCAAAAATTACTCTGAGTTAATCCAAACCATCTGGGTGCATCCATGTGCTTATATGCACATTTGTTCATTTTTGGAAGAATGGGTGCAAAGCAGCATGTTAAATATAAGTTAACCTGGATATGTCTCATGGAAATTTATTTCCAGATTTATCACAGTTTTGAAATTATATTTTAAATAGAACAAATATAATATTAAAACATGTATTAATCAAATATATTTTCATAAAAACAAGAGTTGAAGTAACCATGGAAGGCAAGAAAGAGAATTTTTTTTTTTTTTGGTGAAAACATTTACCTGAGGGGAAAAAACCCTACAGATCATCTCCCAGAGTTTCTGGGTTTCTACAGATGATTTTAGGTTGTGGTGATGGTGCATAACTCTTTCGTAATAGTGATCTTCATCAAACTTGCATTTCCCCAGCTTTAGAAACTGCATTTTTAACTCTTGTTGAACATGATGCCCACTCCATTGTTTCAACATACAAAAGAAATGTTGTGAGGTTTGGGTTTTTTGTAATTTGCTAGTGTTGTCTTTTCAAATGTGTACATTTCTGTGCAGTTACAAATGTATGCACAACATTACCAGCAGCTTCCACTAAAATGGATGGCTGCTTTTCCAGATGAAAATTAGCTGCTGTTAGTTATGCAGTTAATATTAAACTGATTTATTAAGCTATTCTTAAAAATCTAAGCTCTCAATACACACTATTCAGTAGCCAAAACTGTTTTTGAAAATGCACATAATAAAGGGAATGTTAGACAGGCTAGTGCAAACATTTATATTAAAATGTGGGCATAGGAAAATGTACTGACAGTAGTTTATAGGTGAAGTCTTCACATACCTTCGTCTCACTGATTTTATTTTCATTAATCTAGAATGAAATACATTCATCTGCAACTGACCCACCTAGCTTCTTTGCGCCATTTAAGCTTGCAAAATAGGATTCAGATGATACTTGGATAGTATACAGCTCTTGCACTGGCCCTCTGCAAAGGGATGAATTTCATCCCTAGTCTATAGTACTGGCAGTTTACCTGAAATGAGGTAACTACAGAAGCCAGGGTCTATAATATATTCTATCCCTGAGATACTTGCTCACGATAGGTAGCATTATCTTAATTGCGAACATGAGAGGTTATGAGATAAAAGGAAAGGAAATTAGGAGAAATGTGTTTAAATTTGTCCTAATGAATATGTTGCCTTTGTTCTGTTTTTCTTCAACATAAATTATACATGGTTAATTGCGGCTCAAATGTAGGCTTCAGTTGTAAATATTATGTTTATTCTAAGCCACCAAATGGGACTTTATGACAACATATGAAAATAGAAGATTCAAACAAATTCAAAATGCATGAATTATGATCAGATTTTTTGCTTTGGATTACCAACCTTTCGGTTGGTCCTAAACATTGGTAGACATCCGCTCACTGATCCTCACTTAAACATGGCTCACTGAAGTATTTTGTTAATCATTAATTTAGAGTTATCTGTTTCTGTTTCTTTAGATATAATGGACAGAATCATTAGCTGCACCAAGCTTATTGTCAGTGCAATAGGAAACAGGCCCACATGTGGTTCTAAAATAACTTCCAGCCTTCTCCCCTTACCCATCCTGGGGTTAGCTGATAGTGCAACTGGCTCCCAGCAGAAGTTAGAGTAGTTGCAAGTAATTTGTATTGCTTGGAATGGTCCCACATAGAGGCCATACAGGCATCTGGGGATTGCTGTAGCATAGCACACTGGCCAAATGCCCTCATGAATCTAACTCAACTTGGAATACCCTCTGCACTGACTGGGAGAAAGCAGATAGCAACTGAGCTGGCTACACTTGCTTATATTATCAGGGGATTGTCTTCTAACAAAGAAATCCCCAAATCCCCATTTAGTGCACTTTTAAATCCTACTGAAGTGCCCTATAAGAGAAACAAAACACTTGCCCAAAAAACGTATTCTATGCATTTGGAATCCACAAATTTCTTCATCCATCACATATAATATTTTGCAGGTAGTAGTACATGCTGTTCAGACAAAAATATTATGGTGTCATTTAGGTCCTCGTATTACAGACTAAACAGATTACAGTATGGCTATAAAAAAGTGTGTGTGTGTGTGTGTACTGTAATAGCCCCTTTTAAAGTGGACTACTGAATTTAATTATACAACTTTTGTGAAATTAATTGGATTTATGTAGCTAAATCCCCCCAGTCAGCTTTAAAAATTTTAGCCAGTGTGAATTATGTGTGTATAGTTCCTGCCGCCTTATATGAAAATGTACATCCCAAAGCAAATATATTAAGAAGTGCAGAAGAGTGGTTTTGAAACTGCAATCTATGGAGAGATGGCTGGTCATATAATATTGGCCTTTGTCCTAATTCCAGTCACTAAATCACATTAAAAATATTTAACTTTCCCATGTGAATAGTTGCTGTGGGGATGAATGAGAGGGGAT